GGGGGGGGGGTGGTGTGGGGGTCGGTTAAGGCACAATGGCTCTTTGGCAGCCTCTCCACAAAAGTAGACATTCCCTGGCCATTTAAAATACTCTTATTAAATAAACAAAATGCCTGCCCCCCACCCCCTGTATGCAATCTGTTTCCTGCCAAATGGAAACATCCGTTAAAAAAATACCCAACCTCAAACCTGTTTGGTTGTGCCCAGCACCAGTTCTCAAGCCAGAAATATTTTCCATTGTAAACAAATGAATTAACATCATGGTTCTTTAGTCTTCATTGTTTTACAAACTTACCGCGAATGAGCTTGTAAAAAGATATTCAAAGGGGAAAATAGCTGCAAAAGATTGGGTGACTACAATTTAGCTTAATTCAAGAAAGGAAAGCCTTCTGAAGGCATTAAGGGAAAGGGCCACTGACAGATCATGACGCGAAGTCTTAACCACTGCGCCACCAGGGAAGTCCCCTGCTGCAGTTTTCGGCACAAATGTTGTAACTTCCAAGCTGTAGACTGTATTTCCGTATTAATTTATGCATCTTATAAAAACAAATGGCGGGGGCTTCCCTGGTGGTGCAGTGGTTAAAAATCCGCCTGCCAATGCAGGGGACACGGGTTCGAGCCCTGGTCTGGGAAGATCCCACATGCCGCGGAGCAACTAAGCCCGTGTGCCACAACTACTGAAGCCCGCACACCTAGAGCCCGTGCTCCACAGCAAGAGAAGCCACACCAATGAGAAGCCCAAGCACTGCAATGAGGAGTAGCCCCCACTCACCGCAACTAGAGAAAGCCCGCCTGCAGCAACGAAGACCCAAAGCAGCCAAAAATAAATAAATAAAATTATTTTTTAAATGGGGGAATTCCCTGGCAGTCCAGTGGTTAGTTAGGACTTGGCACTTTCACTGCAGTGGCCCGGGTTCGATCCCTGGTCAGGGAACTAAGATCCTGTAAGTCTCCCAGCACAGCCAAAAAAACCCTAAATGGGCTCTATAACTAGGATAAGATGCCAGATATGGGGAAATATTCATTATTGCTTTGGCTGTAATGAAAAAGTTTTTATGGGGTTTATTATAGCTCCAAATGCTCTGATATTGTCTTCGCATTCAATCACAAAATGATATGAAAAATTTGCCTGCTCATGTTCTTTTACAGTGAGAGGAAAAATATATGTAATCATTTTATTTAACCATTAATCTATTTGATAAGTTTTATAGCATGGAAGACATCTAGATTTTTATTGAATATAAGATTTAAGATTTCTGATTAGATTGTATCAAGGTGTATATCAAGGCTTTCAAAATTGTTAGGTGATTAAAGCATTATCACTAGCTGACACCAGTACTAAATATTAGATTGATTTTAGGTAAAGGAGAGATGTTTGGTATAGCCAGTTAAAGAAAAATACAACTTAATCCAGATCTGTATTCTTAGATTTAATCCCAGAATTTATTACCAATCAAGAAAATTTTCCATAAAACTTGTTTAACTTTTTGCAACTGTAAGTTTGCCTCGTTCTGTCAAATTAGGCATAGCCAAGTACTAGACACATAGAGAACTTACATTAGAGAGCTGTCTACCCAAGACCATACTTTAGTTGAAATTTTTCATTCTTATTTATGTAGCCAACAGAAGAGAGGTCCCTCTGATGCTACAAATTTAGGGGGTGCAAGTTGGATCCTAGTTACTAGGATCCAACTTTTATTTTTAATATTTTTATTAATTTTTATTTTAATTAATTTTTAAATTAATTTTATTTTATTAATTTTTAATTATATTAATTTTTCTATATCACTTATTTTATTAATTTTTATTAATTAATTATTAATTTTTATTTTATTAATTTTTCTATATCACTTATTAACTTCACCTATTTTTGTACCAGTTCCTCCAGTCGAGTTCTGTTCCAGGGCTTCTCAAATTTTAATATGTATTCAGAACTAGAACAAAAAATTTCACAATTTGTATGGAAACACAAAAGACGCCAAATAGCCAAAGCAATCTTGAGAAAGAAAAACAGAGCTGGAGGAATCAGGCTCCCTGACTTCAGACTCTACTACAAAGCTACAGTAATCAAGACAGTATGGTACCAGCACAAAAACAGAAATATAGATCAATGGAAGAGGAGAGAAAGCCCAGAGAAAAACCCATGCACATATGGTCACCTTATTTTTGATAAAGAAGGCAAGAATATACAATGGAGAAAAGACAGCCTCTTCAATAAGTAGTGCTGGGAAAACTGGATAGCTACATGTAAAAGAATGAAATTAGAACACTCCCTAACACCATTCACAAAGATAAACTCAAAGTGGCTTAAAGACCTAAATGTAAGGCCAGACACTATAGAACTCTTAGAGGAAAACATAGGCAGAATACTCTATGACATAAATCACAGCAAGATCATTTTTGACCCACCTCCTAAAGAAATGGAAATAAAAACAAAAATAAACAAATGGGACCTAATGAAACTTCAAAGCTTTTGCACAGCAAAGGAACAAGATAAAAGACATAAAGACAAAAAGACAACCCTCAGAAAGGGAGAAAATATTTGCAAATGAAGCAACTGACAAAGAATTAATCTCCAAAATTTACAAGCAGCTCATGCAGCTCAATATCAAAGAAACAAACAACCCAATCCAAAAATGGGCAGAAGACCTAAATAGACATTTCTCCAAAGAAGATACACAGATTGCCAACAAACACATGAAAGAATGCTCAATATCATTAATCATTAGAGAAATGCAAATCAAAACTACAATGAGGTATCGCCTCACACCAGTCAGAATGGCCATCATCAGAAAATCTACAAACAATAAATGCTGGAGAGGGTGTGGAGAAAAGGGAACCCTCTTGCACTGTTGGTGGGAATGTAAATTGATACAGCCACTATGGAGAACAGTATGGAGTTTCCTTAGAAACTACAAATAGCACTACCATACGACCCAGCAATCCCACTACTGGGCATATACCCTGAGAAAACCATAATTCAAAAAGAGTCATGTACCACAGTGTTCATTGCAGCTCTATTTACAATAGCCAGGACATGGAAGCAACCTAAGTGTCCATCAACAGATGAATTGATAGAGAAGATGTGGCACATATATACAATGGAATATTACTCAGCCATAAAAAGAAACGAAATTGAATTATTTGTAGTGAGGTGGATGGACCTAGAGTCTGTCATACAAAGTGAAGTAAGTCAGAAAGAGAAAAACAAATACTGTATGCTAACACATATATATGGACTCTTAAAAAAAAAAATGGTCATGAAGAACCCAGAGGCAATACGGGAATAAGGACGCAGACCTACTAGAGAATGGACCTGAGGACACGGGGAGGGGGAAGGGTAAGCTGGGACACAGTGAGAGAGCGTAAAATAGATAGCTAGTGGGAAGCAGTCGCATAGCACTGGGAGATCAGCTAGGTGCTTTGTGACCAGCTAGAAGGGTGGGATAGGGAGGGTGGGAGGGAGACAAAAGAGGGAGGAGATATGGGGATATATGTATATGTATAACTGATTCAGTTTGTTATAAAGCAGAAACTAACACACCATTGTAAAGCAATTATACTCCAAAAAAAATGTTTAAAAAAATTTTAATGTGTATTAAAAATCACCTGGGAATCTTGTTAAATGAAGATACTGACTCAGTAGGTCTTGGGGGGTGTGCCAGATTCTGCATTTAAAAAAAAATTAATTTATTTATTTGGCTGTGCCAGGTCTTAGTTGCAGCACTCGGGATCTTTAGTTGAAGCACGCAGGATCTAGTTCCCTGACCAGGGATCAAACCTGGGCCCTCTGTATTGGGAGCATGGAGTCTTAACCATTGGACCACCAGGGAAGTCCCCCAAATTCTACATTTTTAACAAATTCTCCAATGGTACCAAATTATGCTGGTCCAAAGATCACACTTTGAGCAGCAAGGAACAAAATCACCCCCACCCCTCTCTCCGTATCAATGGATGGTTAGACTGATATTAGATACGGTGATGTTTATTAGAGGATCAGTGATAACGTTGCAGGAAGGGGGACCCCTTCCAGGGCCCAAGAGTGGGCTCTTGTCTAACACGCAGAAATGAATTGTCTGAGGAGATACACATGCTGACAAAACAAGAGACTTTATGGGGAAGGGGCGCCCGGGCAGAGAGCAGCAGGGTAAGGGTACCCAGGAGAACTGCTCTGCCACACAAAGTCTCAGGTTTTATGGTGATTGGGTTAGTTTCCGGGTTGTCTCTGGCCAATCATTCTGACTCAGGGAACTTCTTGGTGGCGTGCGCATCGCTCAGCCAAGATGATTCCAGCGAGGATTCTGGGAGGTTGGTAGGACATATGGATTGGTGTCTCCTCTCTTCTTTGAACTTTCCCGAATTCTTCCCGTTGGTGGTAGCTTATTAGTTCCTCGTTCCTTACCAGGACCTCCTGTTGTAAGATGACTCATGCGAGTGGCTACTATCTTGCCTGGCCAGGGCGGGCGGCTTCGGTCAGTGTTTCCCCTAACAATAATCTTCCGTCCTTCCAGCACCAATTTGCAAATATTTGGTTATCTTGTCAAACGAGGGCACTGAGGGATGAAGTGACCATGTATCTGATGGGCAGCATAAATGGCTTACACACTCAGTTCTGCAGATTCTCAGTTCATCCCAAGCCCCAAAGGTTTTTTGTTTGTTTTGTTTCCTTCTTTGCCTGCAACTCACCACAGCTCATTAAGACTGTGGATTACTGTATTCTGCCTCAGAGGAACTCCTGACCATGTGGAAGTGCCCCCTCTGGTCCCCATGTTGTTCTCATGATCTCAGCCTCAAATTATATGGGAAGGCTGTGATGTCCTTATGTTTGTAGGGCTGTGATCCTTGTTCATTCCTTTAGCAGGTGGTATAAAGCTGACACCAGAGGCATCTTTTTGCTACTTGACTGTGTCACTAATATTTGAAAAGGGCCTTTCCCTGGAGATCCAAGAAAGATTTGCACCGATTAATCTAGAATTCTAGATCACAGCACTATCACTTGTGATGTCATGGGCCATTGGGATTTTCTGAGAAAGCTGCTTCAGCCTGCAAATGACAAGACTGGAGACAATTTCCTAGTCTTGATAATGAGGTGACTTGATAATCAGTCACTGGTAACTATAAACTAAAACAACTCAGTTTGATGTGGTTTTCACACTCATTAGGGTGAAAGGGAAGTTTTAAGCCATCTTAAATTTGTGTTGTTACAGATTATAGCTTGGTCTTTTTTTAAAATTAATTAATTAATTAATTTATTTTTGGCTGCGTCAGGTCTTTGTTGCTGAGTGTGGGATTTCTCTAGTTGTGGCAAGCAGGGGCTACTCTGTTGCAGTGAGCAGGCTTCAGTAGTTGTGGCTCGTGGGCTCTAGAGCGCAGGCTCAGTAGTTGTGGTGCAGGGGCTCAGCTGCTCTGCAGCATGTGGGATCTTCCCGGACCAGGGCTCAAACCCGTGTCCCTTGCATTGGCAGGCGGATTCTTAACCACTGCGCCACCAGGGAAGCCCCTATAGCTTAGTCTTTTAAGATTTTATTTCTCTGTTAATTGCTCCCACCCTTTGAGGCTGATTAGTACAGATATTTTTTTCAGATTATTTTCAGATTATTATAGGTTATTACAGATATCGAATATTGTTCCTGTGTTATACTGTAAATCCTTGTTGTTTATTGTATATATAATAGTGTGTATCTGTTAATCCCATATTCCTGACTTATTCCTCCCCCTCCTTCTCCTTTGGTAACCATAAGTTTCTTTTCTTTGTGAGTCTGTTTCTGTTTTGTTTTGCTTTTTTAGAAGTAGATTTATTTATTTACTTATTTATTTGGTTGCACCTGGTCTTAGTCGCAGCAGGCACGCTCTTTATTTTTATAATATGAATTTTAAAAAATAAATTTATTTATTTATGGTTGCGTTGGCTCTTCATTGCTGTGCGTGGGCTTTCTCTAGTTGTCGTGGCGAGCGAGGGCTACTCTTTGTTGCAGTGCATGGGCTTCTCATTGTGGTGGCTTCTCTTGTTGCGGAGCCTGGGCTCTAAGCTTGTGGGCTTCAGTAGTTGTGGCTCGCGAGCTCTAGAGCACAGGCTCAGTAGTTGTGGCATATGGGCTTAGTTGCTCCGTGGCATGTGGGATCTTCCAGGCCCAGGGCTCAAACATGTCTCCTGTATTGACAGGCGGATTCTTAACCACTACGCCACCAGGGAAGTCCCAGGTGTGCTCTTTAGTTGTGGCTCACAGGCTCCTTAGTTGCGGCTCGCCAGCTCCTTAGTTGTGGCTTGTGAACTCTTAGTTGCAGCATGCATGTGGGATCTAGTTCCCTGACCAGGGATCAAACCCGGGCCCCCTGCATTGGGAGCGTGGAGTCTTAACCACTGTACCACCAGGGAAGTCCCTGTTTCTATTTTGTATAAAGGTTCATTTGTATGATTTTTTAGATTCCACATATGTGATATCATAAAATATTTGTCTTTCTCTGTCTGACTTAGTATGATATTCTCTAGGTCCATCCATGTTGCTGCAAATGGCAATATTTCATTTTTTATGGCTGTGTAATAGAATAATATTCCATTTTGTATACACATATATATCTTATTAAAACAATAGTCTGTTGATGGGTTGAAATTTTTACCTTATTTCATAATTAGGCAAAAACTTCATAAGCCATGTACAAATGGAGTGATGCAATGGGCCCAGATTTCCTTTCTTTAAATTCAAGTGTTGTAGTTTAAGGTTTATAGCATATGGGTCCAAATCATGCTTTGTGTTTAAAAAATGAACACAGCCTAATTTTAAACGAGAGGTTATTGATTTGTTTGGATTTGCCAACATTCTTAAATGGCTTCTAAAAGTTGGACACAGTACTTTGTGTTCTCACAAGTGTTCAGCACAGCTGCCCTGGGAGCGAGCAGAGTAGCCTTGCTCGCAGCGGTGAGCCACGGGTGCAGGTAAAGGGAAGGATGAAAGAAGCAAAGACTCAGCTTGGAGAGACATCCCTCAGAAGTCTTCTAAAGAGTCCCAGTGATGATTGTAGAACAGTATGGGTGACATGATCCACTTGTGAAAAAGCCAGCAAACTACCTGTGAGCATGATGGGAAGGAGAGATACCCACCAACCCATCAGCAGTTGGTTGTCAGCTAGTAGGGGTTACTTCATACACTTCTGTTAATTCTTTTTTACCTGATCGTATATGATGCGCGAGCTTTGTTCATCAGCAGGTGCTCCCCACTCATTAGTAGGTCAGCTCATCAAAGGTCCCCAGGCCCCTGCAAGCTGAGCAATGCAGTTTGGCAGGGGGGCCCTTAGCTGGCACTGGAGGTGGGAAGGGGCTGGCAGGAATGAGCAGTCTGTGGAGAATTGCCATGTTCCAGAAGGTCTATCTTCAGCCAGACCATGTGGCTTCTGCAAGGCCTAAAGGGGGGCAGGGGGGACCAGGCTGGGAGAGCAACTGTCCACTGGGCTAGAGAAGAGGGCAGGAGTGCCTCGGAGACCATCTCCTTCCCCAGTGACACTCTGGCTCCAGATCTGCTAGCAGACACTTCATTCCTCCAAACATCCAAGCTCTTTCGCCCCTTGGAGAAAGCCGAGGCTGACCAGGCTGCTTCTGTGGCTCACAGACAGTCACCCTGAACAGGGTGGCCAATAGCCTGCCTTGGGCAGAGGCCCAGTCCAGAGCTCTGCTTCCCTCTCTCATTTCAGTACATCCCTTTGCCAGTGCTGTATGGAGTCTTCCTCTACATGGGTGTGGCCTCCCTGAATGGCATCCAGGTAAGGCTCTCCCCTTAGGTCCTCTAAGCCTCATTTTACAGATGAGGAAACTGAGGCTCAGAATTCAAAACCCAGATCGAGCTGATTCCTACGAGGATTTCACTACGCCTCTCTCTTCTCTAAGGCAATTTGCACAGAAGAAAACATTTTGTTTTGTTTTGTTCTTTATTTACCACGATACACCAGATGTCTTGGATAGCTTGTGTTGCTGTTAAGTTGCATTTTCCTTGAATGTGGGCAATGTTTACTGGGGCCAGTGCCAGGGCTGTAGCCCTCACCAAGGGCTCAGCTCTCCCCCACCATAAGATCTCATTATACATCCTCCGAGACCTCCAGGCCCCTTCTTTTGCATCCTTAAGGCCTGACCAGGGGCTCCCCTCTATGGGACCCCACTGCAGCACCCATTTCACCAGACCCAAGCCCCCAGAGGGGCCACCAGGGTCCCCACGGCCTGGCTGAGTCTTCCCCTGTCCTCACCAGTTCTGGGATCGCTGCAAACTCTTCCTGATGCCGGCCAAGCACCAGCCGGACCATGCCTTCCTGCGGCACGTGCCCCTGCGCCGGATCCACCTCTTCACCCTGGTGCAGATACTGTGCTTGGCTGTGCTCTGGATCCTCAAGTCTACGGTGGCCGCCATCATCTTCCCAGTCATGGTAAGACGAGTGCAGTCTTCCCCCTCGTGTTCAGCAGGTTCAGATGGGGAAGGTGTCCAGGGGGAGACCCACCCTAGCCTTCTCCTCCACAGTGGCCTGATTCTCTCAGGGTCACAAAGGCAGGCACAGATCGAGATTCGGGTTGTGACTCCAGGCCAAGTAGAGCTGGGGGGCGGGGGTGTGGTGGAATGCAGAGGAGAGACGGGGAGGGAAGTTGTATGTGGTAGGTGGATGCTGTAGTGACAGCCCACACGCCCGCCTCCACCCAGCTCAGGTCAGGGCGGCTCAGTGAGAATGCAAAAGCCAACCAACTTTCTCAACTCTGGAGTGCGATGGAGAAGCTGGGCAAATTCAACAAGGAGACTGAGTTCCCCACTGCCAAAATTCAAACCAAGTGCGGAAGTAGATCTACACTAAATATAATTCTTCACCCTTCAATGTAACTGAATTTGAAAAGATAAATGGGGGGATGGGATGGGGAGAGCTAGAAATAGAGATTTAGAACTTCAGAGTCCAACGTCATTAACATGTCATTGTTTGGAGAAGCTGGGGCAAGTATGTGAGCATTCTTTGACTATTCTTGAAATTGTGTGTAAGTTTGAAATTATTCCAAAATTAAAAGTGAAAAGAAGAAAAGCCAACAACATGTTGCATCTGGCATCTAGATCGCCCATGGAGGGCAGTGGCCTCTGCCCCTGCTGGGGCATGGGGAATGGGAGGGGGGACTGTGGGCTAATGCTTGGGGGGAAGCCCTAGGTGGGCCCTAAAGCCTGCAGGGCTGGATTCGGGACCAAAGTGAGGACACAAAGTAGGATCTGAAATATCCTGGCAGGATTCTGAGTCAGTGATTCTTGACCCTGCGCTCATAAGAGTCACTTGGGAGCTTTTTAAAAGCACATGCACCCAGGCCTCAGCGCAAATCAATGAACTCAGAATCTCTTAGAGAAACCCAGGCATTGGTATTTATAGTAAGTCTACAGGTAAGCATAAATGTCCAGCCAAGGTTGAAAACCACCACTCCAGGGAAAGTGAAATGGATCCTCCCCAACAGGGCCCTCATGGGTTTCAGAGGTGAGGAGGGGAAAGGATCGTCACAATTGGCATGGACTGAGTGCTATTTCATTTAGTCCACACCTTCCCTAAAGAACTACCATTTTACAGACTGGAAAACTGAGGCTCAGAGAGCATGTGTGAGTGACTCAAGCCACACAACCAGGAAGGAGCAGAGCCAAGATTCACACCTTCCCCCATATTGATATTTTTTAATTTACATGCAGTAAAATGGACTCTGCTGTTCTATGAGTTCTGAAAAAACACAGAGTAGCGATTCCGCCACCACAGTCATGATACAGAACAGTTCCATCACCTCTAAAATTCTGTGTTGTCCCTATGTAGACAGCCCTTCTTCCTACCTCTGCCCCTAGCAACCATGCTCTGTTTTCAGAGCCAGGAATTTTAAAAACCAGGTCTGACCAACTCCCGAGCTCTGCTTGCTTCCAAGACACAGGGTCAGTGAGGACCCAGTGTTAAATCCCGCTGGATGTTTTTCTCCCTGACCTCATCTAATGGCTAGTTCTTGGTGGTGAAAGGACAATATTCATAACTAGCTACTTGGACCCATTGCATCTATTAAAAGTCAGTGTTTAATCTTCTCCAAAGAGCACGTGTTTTGCCTTTGTTTATCCTGAACAGAACCAAACTTTCTAGACTTTCCTTTAAAAATTCTAGATATGCCAGTATACTTTATTCAGTTTGTTAGCAGAGAGATTGGCAGCTCTCAGAAATGGGGGCACAGGGACAGTTGGTCTCAAAGTGTAATCCCTGAATCAGCGGCATCAACATCTCCGGGCAATCTTGTTAGAGATGCAAATCTCAGGCCCCACCCCAGACTTTCTGAGTCAGAAACTCACCCAGCACCTAGCAGTGTGGGTGTGATTTGATCTAAGCTCAAGTCTGAGAACCACTAATTTAAAGAATAACTGTAGTTCTCCACCCACAGGCCCCATCTGGCTCCCCCCCCACAGCTGTCACAGGCTCTGTGCATCTGGGTCACTGGTAGGCATCGCCACTCAACTGAGGAGAGGCTGGATGAGAGGAACCAAGATGGGTGGGAGGTGAACAATGGTTTGGGGGAGCTTTGAGAATGTTCCAAAGATACCAGAAAAAGTCCCTGAACATAGCTGACTGAGGGAGAAAATGAATTGTGCCCAAGTTCGGGGTCTTGAGCCCATGGTTTTCTCTGAACTCTCACCACAGATCCTGGGCCTCATCATCGTTCGAAGGCTTCTGGACCTCATCTTCTCCCAGCATGATCTGGCCTGGATTGACAACATCCTTCCAGAGAAGGAGAAAAAGGAGGCAGATAAGAAGAAAAGGAAAGGGGCCCATGAGCACAGTGAAGAGGAGGTGGGAAGGATGTGAGGCCTGGGCTGATGGGAGGGATCAAGAGACCCTCCCTCCACCTCTGCCATGGCCAGGGTGGGGAGGCTTCTCAGGTAGCCGGGAGCGACTGCCTGGGCCCTGCGTCAGTCTGGTGTGCTGAGATCGCGTCTATTCTTGTGAATACCCTGAGCGTAGGCCAGAGTGAAGAGCCCTCTCATCCAGGAAAAAGTCAGTTGGCCATGCCTATTTTCCCCCATTCCTGTGGGCTCTTGGGGCCATTACAACAGCACTGTAGGTCCCTGAGGGGACAGGGCAGAAGACTTGGCTCCATCATGGAGGAGGTTATGAGGACTGACCTCCAAAGAACAGAGCAGGCCCAGGGGGAGGGGTCTGATAGGGACTCATTAGTAGACTGGACTCCTGGGCAAGTGGGAGGACGGGGGACAAGCCTTGCTTGGGCCTGTCCATAGGGTCCTGGGCAGAGAGGTGGGGGAAGATGCACGTGGCCTCCTGAAAGGAGGGTGACTACATTCCCCAGATGCCTGGGACCACTCAGTCTCAGTTGTCCCATCTGCCCCTCTCTTCTCCCATGCTTCCTCCCCATCTCACCCCAAAACACTCAGGGAGTCAACAGACAAGAAGCCAGTCCAGAACTTATAGTAAATCACAAAATGTTAGTGAAGAAGACTGTCTAGTTCAAGTGTTCATTACAGATGATGAAACTGTCCCCCAGAAGGGAAGTGACTCACCCAAGATGGACGTATAGGCTAAATGTCTAGGAGGGAACTAAGAAAACCATTCCGACTTTGAATCTGATCATTTCCAACATACTAAGCTGCCCATGTCCTTCCTAACACCATGCCTGGCTCCCATTCTCCCAGTTTGACCCAAACCCACATCCCTGCCTCCACCGTGAACTGTTCTCCTAGCAATCTTGCCTTTTGCAGATCAAAGCTGCCCATAGATACAAGCCCTTGCTGACTGATTGGTGACGATTAAACCATCTTCTGATGGTAGTGATAGGCCAAAATTCCCCTGGCCCTCAATTACTGTCCTCATCCCAGAACATAAGAGGCCCATAATCCCCATTCACATGTTTTTCATTGATGATTTTTTTTGGCTGTGCCGCACAGCTTGCAGGATCTCAGTTCCCTGACCAGGGAATTGAACCCAGGCCACAGCAGTGAAAGCCCAGAATCCTAACCGCAAGGCCACCAGGGAACTCCCCCCTTGTTGATGACTTAGATGATTTGCAAAGTTAGGTTCTGAGAACAAAGAAACTGAGAGTCTAAGTGCCTTTGAAAGACAAGTATTATTCTTTCACTGATTCACTCAATAAATATTTCAGTGGCTACCACAGGCCAGGAAATATTTCAGGGGTGGGAAAAAGCATCTCTGGTTTATATGATATTTTCGATGGAAAAACGGGATTCAATTTACATAAATTCATTTTATACACGTCTTCAGCTACTGTGTGAGGTTCACTCCCAAGTGACTGGTTACCACGGCAGTTGAAACTGTTCTGATGAGTAACGTTCCTGCAAGAGTTCTGTCCTTTCTAGTGTCCTCAGTGGGCCCCAGGGTAACTGCAGCACCCCCTGTCTAGTCTGGATATGAAGAGGATGGTGGTTTGCACACTGTGGACGCGTGTATTTTCCATCTGGGCAAGAAAGCCAACACTATTGTATTGGTGGTATTTATCAGCTTTTCCCACTGTTTCTCTCCAGCCCCAGTTCCCTCCTCCCTCAGTTATAAAGATTCCCATGGAAAATGTCCAATCAGATCCCAAAAACGGTATCCACTGCGTTGCCAGTAAGTAAAACACATGGTGTCTCTCCCTTCCTACTTACTACTAATCCTCCACCTCTTCCTCAAGGAACTTTCATCTCTAACTCAGGTCTATTGGTCTTAGATACTAAAGGACTCCTGTGCTAGGCAGAGTTCAAAAAGAACTGGGCTACAGGAACTGGAACTCCAACCATATGGAAGCCCCAAATCAAACCATGTAGACTTCAGTGATCAATCTTCATTAGTTTAGGCAAACCCCCTCTTTCCCTCCTTACCCCTAGTGCCCTCAGGTGCCTGTGGTACCACCTCACCCCCTCTTGCATGACCTGCTGAGCCTCTCATGTTTGCCAGTGGTTACTGAAATGATTGAGAACTCAAAGCCAAGCTGAGTTGTCCCCTTTAGGAAAACAAGTAGCATCACACTGGGATTATAAATTAGTCAAGGTCCTAGTGGTTGGGCTGTGATTCTGTATGTGCTTGATTCACAAGCACCTTCCACATGTTGAAAGGGAAGCTGCCTGGGAAGGATCAGATGTGGCTTATGAAGATCTTGGGGGATTTTATTGCTGCCTTTACCCGCTTCCAGCCTCAGCTTCCTATTGGTGGACAGTCTTGTCATCAAGACAACACAGTCTATCCTGGGAGTAGTCTGAAAGATGCCAACATGGGTCCTGACCCTGGCGCTCCTAAGGGCTTGCCGCTTTCCCCAAAGGCCCATACTGGGGATCCTGCCAGCCCCCACAAGGGCCCTTCAAGGAAGGGCTTCCCATTACATTCTCCTCCAGAAGTACGTCCTCCTTTTGAATTTCTCATGCCCTTCCCCCTTCTCATTTGTATACCTCCATCACCTTTCTTCATTCTTCCCTGGCTCTCACCGTGCCTCTCACCCACCTCTGGGTGAAGGAATAATTGAACCAGAAGCCACCCATCTCTGTGAGGCCCCTGTATTCCTCTCGTGTGGTACTGGCCACGGGGTTAGAGAATAGAAAGGAGAAGAAATGGGTGAGGGGAGCACTGTAGAAAGAGGGTATATTCTCCAGAATAGTTCACAAAGCTGTTCCACGTCTGACGCTTTGATTTTCCTGCCAGGACAAAGATCTTCCAGTTGGAGTTACTCACTCTGATTCCTCCTTCAGTGATTCAGAACTCGACCGAAGGTAACAGCCATGAGATAAGACTCTCTGAGTGTTAGATAAGAGCCTAAGCAATGGCTTTGAAAGCGGAGGGACTAGGATTTCCCGGGCTAACCAGTGTCTCAGTAAAAGGCCTTTGCTGGTCTACCACAGGACACAAAGGTACAGAGCTGATTATTGGGTGTCAAGTAACAAATCTGTCCTCTTATTGACATAATATGATTACACCACACAAAGGTACTGAACTTTAGAAAAGGAAATTATTACAAAATATTAAGCAGAATGAAAACTGAAAGTAAATATTGAAAAAGGAAAACAGAAACTAGACGTGATTTAAGTATTTATTATTAAAAGCCAGGATGAATGAACTCTAAAGATCAAAACACCAAGCACTCTAATACTCTGTGGAGTAAAACAGCAGCATGGTTACTATGCAAAGGTCAGAAAGTGTATCAAGGAAAGCTAACTAGATATCAATGATCAAATGGAGATAAAAAACAGTCAAGAAAGGATTCAAGGCCCAGGTTCCAGGAACTCCGATGCCAGCCATGTGATTCCTTGCTGTCCTTAATGAGAAGCCACCCTCAAAAAAGGTGGGGCTACTTGATGACTGAAAACAAGGGGGGATCAAAAATAGAAAAGAGGAATTCAGAGGCAAGAAAGTCTGCCTCAGTCATTACTAGGGAAGATGGTGGGGGCAGTCCCACTCCTACAGTGTGCCCTAAGCTGGACAAGAATCACTGTGCTACATCTGACAGTGAAAGCACGGGCTACCCCAGGACTAGAGGTAGCTGGCTGCAGACGGAGATGGGACTCACCTGAGAGATTTTAGGAAACATGTACAGGATCTTCTGAGTTATATGTCAAAGCTGTTATCACATTGCCAGGATGAGAAGAGATTTATCACCAGGGTAATAAGCCTCCCTAAGCAGCACTACTGTGTCGCATGTCCAAATGACATCTCTGCCTGCCTTCTCATCCCCCCTCCCCAGTCAGGGCTCCTATGCCCTTAATGCCACAGATCTTTATAAATACATGTGTTAAGAGAAAAGCACTGTCTATCTTACTTTCATTTTAAGGTAGCCTACACAAAATGAAACCTCTTAATGCTCTAATTTCAGTTAATGGAGAGAGAATTTGGTCCAGGATAGGACACTTCCAAAAACCTGTTAAAGTACACAAAGCAGGGGACAAGGCCAGAAATGCAGACAATTTCGTGACTAGTGACGGCACCTCCCAACTATGCTGGTGTTTTACTGAATCTGTGAGAGTACCTAGAAGTAAAGACAACTAAATAGCAGGATTCCATTTCAGTGAGGAAAAAACTCAGCAACATGAGCTGGTTTAACAAAGATTAAGCATCCATGGTCTACCAGGCACAATGCTTAACCTCTGGGAATATAGAAAGACAGGCATGTGCACCACATGCCAAGAACGGAGCACACATAAGGGAAAGGACAGGCATCTACAGGAGGAATCTGCCTTACCCAGAGAATCTGGGAACAATAAATAGGAGTCTTCCAGATGTGCAGAGTCAAAGAAAAAAGAGAGAAAAGAAGGCGCTGCAGGTATGGAGAAAAGGCCTGAAATATCACACAGACACAGGGCAAAGAACCCAGGATGGATGGGGCAAACAGCAAGCAGGCAGAAGTTTGAGCAAAGAAGGCTCTTGTCTCACCAGGCTAAGGAGCTTGAATTCTGTCCTTTGAACAGTGGGGAACCACAGTCAGGTTCATGATCCAAAAAGTTCACTTTGGCAGCAATGTGATAAATAGGTCGAAAAAGAGTGAGACCGGTCATTGTGACAGCTGAAGGCCAAGCAGATAGGATACTGCTAGTTCCTGTGATGTGTTAGGAGTTCAAAAGCAAAGACAGAACTATTTGCACTAGAACCCTGTTCTGGGGGATAGCATTAAAAAATACCAAATCCTAGATAAATCATTCTTCCCTCTTCTTTTTCTCATTCAGCATCACCCTGCACTTCAAAATCTCCTGTCCAGCTTCACCTGCCTTCAGCTACTCACAGAGCCCAGTCTTCATGGTGCCACAGGTGAAGATAGAGATGGAGCCAGACTGTGACTTCATAGACATGGAAAGATATGGAAGAGAAGCTGACAGCGAGACCACCCTCTAGGAGGACGGATGGGGCACAGAGTGAGGGCCTCGTTTAGTCTTCACTGTGAGGGTCTGGGCCAAAACCCTTCACTTTTCCAAACCTGTTTCCTTATTTACCAAACAGAGGGAGTCATTCTGCTTGATAGAAAACTGGAGAGCTGCTGATGAAAAGTACTACTTATATGCAAAGCCCTCTACTTCCCTCTGTAGTTATGAAAATAACTAAAGCTAAATGTTACACCTTATTTTAAAATGCAGTCCAGCATAGAAATTATAACATTTCTTTTGAAATGAAAAAATGCTTTCTCTCAAAACTGTAGCTAAGATAAAGGGGCACTACTCAATTTTTATTTAAAACAAATATCAGTTAAGATTTTTTTTTAAAAGCTGAGATTTTAAATGATCTAGATGGTCTTAAAACAACTTAAAATACTCATACTTTAATAGACCAAGGTTGGAAAATTTGTTTTGCAATTTTGCATATTAAGAAATGCTAAAAAGGACCTCTTATCTCTCCATCCAATTCAGTTTTCTAAGGGTCATATGACAAGTTTGAACTATCTGCATTATGAGTCTTGTTCCAGCACAGAAGTGTGACTGGGGCTTTTCCAGATTGAAAGCTATTTCTAAAAGTCTGGTAATGAAAGAACCAACATGTTTGAGTGGATATTTTAAAAACAAAATAGTTCCTGTTAAAATGAAACCTCAAATCACATGGCAAATCAACAAAATGATCCTTTAAATTAGTATCACTGGTTTTTAAAGCCCAGAATCACATTTCATTATGCATTTGGGTAGGTCTTTCCTGAAAGTTTTCAATGGCCTGATTCCCAAAGTCAAACTTGCATTCACATTAATATTGCATATTAGGCAGGGCTCATGTGAAATTTTAGAAGATTAAAACTCTGCAATACTAGTCAGACTAGTACTTTAAAGGAATAATTAGAAACAAATTGGGTAGATTTAAAACCCGTTAATAGTGAAGCAAACTCTTTTCCTCATGAAACTTAAGATCAGTCTTCTTATCTTCAAGTCACATTTAACAAACACCAACCATGTTTATTTACCACCTACTGTGTGCCTAATAGCCACAAGGCATCTGACATTTACCTTCTCCAAAAAAACTGTGGATTTGAATCTTGAGTAAATCACTTTGGTTAAGGTTACCACATTTACTCAAGATGACAAATGCAGGTGCTTTTTCTTTATCCCTTTCTATTTTTTAAAGACAAATGACACTAGATCATTAACCACCTTGAGTATAGGGACAGTTAATTGCCTCTATAATCCCCAGACCCAGTACAGTGCCTGGTCCATAGAAAGCTCTCAGTGTTTATTAAATTAAATCTCAGAACGCCCTTCCAAGGATACTGCCATGAGGTAAAGCTCTAAACCTCCACCACTTCTACTGAGAGCAGCAGAATTAATTAGCTGCTCACTAATCCAGAACCATTGCCTGAGCTTAAGTATAAATTCTTTGTCTTCATCTGCACCAATTTTGGGAGAGCTAACAATCTACCCTTAACATTTCAGTTTTAAAAACTGGCTGATTTCCAATAGCATTTTGTCCAAATTGAATTGTAGAAATGTTGTGGATTCAGGAGTAAATGTGCTTGATTAATCAAACAAGCTGGAAAACTAGAATGTTAATTTTTTGTTGTTGTAAACTGATCACCGTAATTTTCACATTGCCTGTCATTTGCATTTTGTACACACACACACACACACACACACATACACATGAACATTTTAATTTCCATAGCTTTTAATAGGTTGACATATTGGTACTTCTCCATGCAGTAACAATAACTTGTAACTACAGTTCAATAAAACTTAATCCTGTCTGCTCGTCTCGCTCCATGTTTAATAATTTGGGTGAGTCAGCACGCATGGCTGATGTACAGGAACTACACCTCACTTGCAAAAATATCTCTAGCAACTATCACCCCTCTTCATTCCCAGAAAACTATCAAAAGCATAAAGGCGACGGGCTTCCCTGGGGGCGCAGTAGTTGAGAGTCCGCCTGCCAATGCAGGGGACACGGGTTCGATACCTGGTCAGGGAAGATCCCACATGCTGTGGAGCAACTAAGCCCGTGCGCCACAACTACTGAGCCTGTGCTCTAGAGCCCGTGCTCCACAACAAGAGAAGCCACCGCAATGAGAAGCCCACGCACTGCAATGAAGAGTAGCCCCCACTCACCACAACTAGAGAAAGCGTGCGCAGCAACGAAGACCCAACACAGCCCAAAACAAATAAATAAAATAAATAAATGTATAAGAAAAAGCATAAAGGCGGCACATGAACAAGGAGGGGGAGAAGGTCAGCTCTGCATTGCTCTCCTTCCTCTCTGCCTCAAGCTGCCTGGAACAGGAGTTGCTTCTGCCTGCATGAAAGCCAAATACCTAGCCCTTGAGCAGAATACACTGGACCTATCCTCGCTGCAAATGTGCCACAGCAAATACCTTTCAATCTGTGCAATCAAACTAATGCTTTAAACACACACACACAGACACATGAAAAAAATTTATATATATGGCGGGGGGGCTTGGCAAAGCACATCAAGAAGTCCTGTGTAAATTGAACATATGGTTTAGAAAATAATCAGAACAAGACTAACCACTTAAATGAATCTTACAGATTAAACTCCTGGCTTGGCACAACCTTTGGGGATGTAAGATTAAAAGGACTAGGCTGATTTCTCCACAGCTCTTTAAACCAATTTGTTTAAGGCATTGGATTGGGTATTACCAAATATAGGAATATTTAGGTTGATTACATCCAATGAGAAAAATTAGGTCACAACAAGATAGTAGCAGAAAGATACAGTATTTCAGAAACTCATTCTATACCAGTCAGAAGTGTTTTATTTAAAAAAACAAAATGAAGGAAAAAAGTCCTTTAATCAGAAAGTCTGATTAAATTCAGTATTAACTCAAGTTCTCAAAAATCAATCAAGGAAAGCCAACAGGTGCATCAGAGAAAAGCCAGCAGCTGTTGACAGTTCTTTGGTGGAAAAGTAAGTTGCACACTTATACAAGCTGCCCTAATGATCATTAAGCCCAAGTTATGTTTTCCAAATACAGGTTTCAAGATACACTAAAGAAACCATACAGACACCCCCAACAGTATAAAAATTTGACAGTGAAGTTTAAGGATGTAGGAAAGTCAAATAGGACAACACACATGAATAATTTATAAAATAAGCCTTTCAATCCTAGAAAACTAAAATGGGAAACCTCAGGGATGGTAACGAACATAAAACGAGAGCTAATAGCAAATGAAACAACCCCAAACATTTTCCCAATGACTAAGCTACAAATGACAACTTAGGAGACTATTAACATGTAGTTTTTCTTCTGGTTATCAATCAATACATATATTAAATTAGGGTAATTTTTTTTCTACTCAACTACCATCATTTCTTTCTTTTTTACCTCTTCCCTAATTTTCTCTTGCAACATTTTTCCTTTGGTTTGACCAGTTGAACTCAAAAGGTTTGGAACCTAAAGTGAGCATCAACTCATTATTGGAATAGCACTTGGGAAATGCAATCGTAGAAAAGATAAATTTGTGCAGCGTTGGTGCTATGGTGGTAAGCATAGCTGTCCTCCTAAAAAAGACAAATTTTAACTGAAGTGGTTGACAAAGTTAGGCAGCCATTCTCAGTGTGACAGTGTCCCCCTGTTAATCAGTAGGTTGATGGCTTCTCTTGGCTGGATCCCATGACCCAGCACGATAGTGGCATGTTCCCTGGTGGGTAACTGCAGGGCTATGTGTGCAAACACCCACCCATTTAAGCTTACAAATAAATAGAAAGCATTGTTTTAAACCATTTAAGTAGAATAAATATTGCATTTCTATTGGCCTGGTTTTCCTCATGAACTAGCTTGGAGTGCTGTTAATGACACAGAAGACGCAATAGTTAATTACTTGCTACTCCAAGCTCCTTAGACTTCAGTACTTCCCGCTCTTCAAGGCTCAGCACTTTTTTTGCAGCAATAATGGTATTCTTCATTAGCATTGCCACTGTCATGGGACCAACACCCCCAGGGACTGGAGTGATGTAACCGGCTTTCTTCCTGACTCCTACATAGAAATAAGACAGGCAGACTGCTTTAATTATGGCAAAGGAACTGTATGTACTTTATCATGGAAGAAGCATTCAAAGAAAAAGTAATAAAATACATAAGCATCTTCATGAGCCTCAAACTCATTTAAAAAATCACAGCTACATTACTCAAGAGTAAAGGCTTTTGAACATACTAATATAAAATAACACACATATAGGGACTTCCCGGGCAGCTCAGTGGTTAGGACTCTGCTCTTCCACTGCAGGGGGCGCGGGTTCGATCCCTGGTGGGGGAACTAAGATCCCACATTCTGTGTGGAGCGGCCAAAAATAAATAAATCAATAACACACATATAATAAGCAGAGTTGTTCAGTGAATATTTATATATCTAAATAACCTATAATTTACCAGCCATACTTTTCCTCCATATTAAATCAACTTAAAAAGAAACATCTCAGTAGGTTAACTGTATGGGAAGTGTAACTATAATAATAATAAACATTACTTCAATTAATACCTGCCTACAATATTTTCTTAATTTTATCCTATTTATTTAACTATACTGTTTGCCCAAAGCATCAAGCAAAGTAATTTTCTGGAAAGTAAAAAGTAAGATTTTTTTTACTCCAATCTAAAGGGAAAAATACTTAGATACCTAGGCTTGGGTCTGACTGCTTTAGAAGAAACAGAAAGCTAGAAATAGGATTATTGGCATAAAATTCAGATAAAATCAGAACTGAAAGGAGAAATCTACTAGCAAATTCCAAAATTTTAGCAATTTGGCTCTGTCCCATATTTTTAACATGTCAGGTCTGTGATCTCTCCTCCCAGTATGAAAATGAGAAATCTGTAACACTTTTTAGGAGACTCAATAGTTTAGGAAAATCACT